TTATATATATATATATATATATATATATATATATATAATTAAAAGTACAATGATAGTGGTGATAATAATAAAAATAAAAAATAAAAATTACGATAGTTATGATAAGAAATGTATAGAACTTTATTTGTAATTTTTTAATTTAATTCATTTATATATTTTAATTTAAGTGTTAGAATCGATTATTTTCAATTTCACGTAAAAATGACATTTTGATAATATATGTTGCATATGTGGGTGTGTGTAACAATTTTACCAATTTATCATAATTATATATAATATAATCCATTTTAAAAGTATTTTCTAATATATTTTAACTTTTAAAACATTATTTTCTATTTAAATTATAAAAATTATCTTTAACATCTTTCTTGAATTTTATACATTAAATTATAAAATTTATATTAAAATTGGCTAAAATTAATGAAAAATTATTGTTGTAACATATCTTAAATAATTGATATAATTATATTATTTAACCAAAAACCACAAGTTCTGAAATTGGATAAAGTACATTGATAGGTCAGGGTATATTTCATTTATGATTTCCCAACATACGATATGTTGAACTGTTGGTAAAAGAAGATCGTCATTTTTTATAATCTAACGAACAAAAAGCTCTCTAATCAGTAATTTAAACATTGTTTTGACTTAGTTGAAATTTGGTACTTGTTAACACCTCGTAAATAAGTGGAACATCATTGATGGAAGATGAATGTTAAATGGTTCAAGTAACTCAAAGGAAAGGTGGAGATTTGTTATATTCATTATATATATTGCGTGAGCTCCTAATATTGGATAATTTCAACGACAACATGGCTCTTCTCCAATCTCTAGTCTAAACTCAACTCCTAGATATAAATTTCCCTATAACTTTAATGTGTTCCATGAAGTCCATCATCAAATTTCTCCCTCTCCCTTTGAAACCTCAAAACCATTACTTTTATTTTCCTTAGCTTTCTGTTCATCCAGATAATGCTGATACATATACGACAAAAGGCCCCATATAGCCAACAAGAATGCTATAACTTTCACCCCATAGATCTTGTCATGAAACACCATGACAGCAAGGATTGGATTTATGGCCAATTCTAGATTACCTATTACAGTTGAGAATAACGAAGATACCTCAAAAGTCAACCCTAACATGCCAACGCATGCTATTTGCCACGTCACAGAAATCCAAACCAGAGTCATTACATATGAAACCCCACCCTTTTCAAATTCCTTCATCTCAGTTTCCATAGTTTTCCAATCTCCACTCACAAACAATCCCACTATGCCACCACAGGTAGCAACGAGCATTGGATAGAAATTCATGTTCAACACCGCAGATAGGGTTTCTGTCTTCATAACTTTCTCAAAATAAACCTGCAAAAGAGACTGATATAAAGAAAACATGGCAGATGCAGCAAGGACACAGAAGAACCCAATTATTTGCTTTTCTTTGGGAAGGTGCTTTGTGTCCTTAGATTCGGTGTTGATTGCAAGCAGGGTAACTGACATGGTAAGGACCACTATAGAGTTGATTATCAATGCAGTGAGCTTTTGGGAATTGAGGAAGAAAGTGAAAATTGCATTGAACCCTAATTGGGATGCACACACTAGTGTAAAAGTGGAAAGAGGAAGATATTGGAGTCCATAGGCATACATCAAGTCCATTGCTACCATCGCTAAGCCAAAAGCTAGGTACAAGGAAAATATAATGGAAATTTTTGGTTTGGTTTTGGAGGAATCATTATTGGGGTGTTTTGTTGATTTGGCGTGTGTTTGAGAGTAAAATAGGAGTGGAAGTAGTATAGGGAATCCAGCTGATTGAACAAATAATGCAATCCATCTGCTTTTGCCACCTTTCTCAAAGTATGACCTCCCCAAAAGAGTGGCTGAGCATTGGCCTGCCAGAAGAAGGATTGTGTATAGGGACACACGTAACCACCGTTTGTATTCTCCGAGTGATCTTGAATGTTGAGGTTGCTGATGAGTAATGGTTGTGTTTGTGGACATTGTGTGCAAGTTGTGCACTTTTTTGTCCTGTGAGAAACACAACTAAGCAGTAAAGATTAGTTGTATCACAGTACCGGAGACCCTTTTTAAACTTGAGATTTTTACCAAATCATTTTACGTACTAAAACGATTCACCTAAACTGCATTTGTTTAGGATCATTGTTTGGCTATTCCATCACTATATAATCTTCTATTACACCCATTACTTTCATTTGTTTTTATAAAACACTTTTGGCCTACATGAAAAGTTATTGAATTCGAATAACTGTCCTCATCTTAAATTTAAATATGCGTATGCGTATGCAATTTTTTATCGTACGTTGTATAATTCTAAATCAAATTTAATATTCATCTCCGTAATATTTTATATACCTCAAAATTTCGAAAGAGTATGTGAATAAATTAAAATATAGATTTTCTAGTTTAATTAGCCGTCTACAATTCAAATTTTTAAATATACAACTGCATCAAATATTTAATATAAAAAAATTTGCTGATTAATGGATAATAAAATGTTGGTAGGTAAAAATTTATTAGAAAATTTAAAATTTGATATGGACATAAAAACTTATAAAAAAAATAATAATAATACCCTCTAATACATTCTTTTGAATACACTTTTGTTATTGCTGAAATTTATTTGAAATAAGAAAAATTGTGAGTCTCCCATCTAACTTAATGAGTTTTACTCAAAATTTCATATATTTTAAAAAAAATTGATTAATAATAAATAGTGGTTAGTATAATGTTAACACTCCTTTGAAGTTTATCTGAATAAACTTATAATTAAATGCTTATAAAGAGAATAAAATAAATAAGTCAATAAGGTAAAATAAACAAGATTTTTTTTATAAATTAAAATTAACTTATTTATTTCAAGTTATTCTAGAACTTTTCTCGTTTGATTTTCCAAAAGATCAAAAATAATTATTTCACCAAAATAAACATATCTAAGTATTAATGTAACTAAGCCTATTACTAAATTATTAATTTCATTCTCCCTTATTATTAAATAAACCACTCCAAATAGTATAAATCATATAACGTGATTTTGGCTGGATGATTTTTTTTCCTATTCCAAAATGATGTCTTCCTTAATCATAAAATGGCATAGCAATAGATTGGTTTTGATGCATCTTTTCAACCTGTTTGTGGTGGAATTCGTCTATGAGTTCTTTTTATTTGAACTAGCACGAAATCGTTTCAATTTAGGTATTTTACAGTTAAACTTTCTTAAGAACGGAAAGATTATCAAACAGAGTGACTAATAAGCATTTGTTTCCAGATTTTCGTAAATAATTATCAAACAATTTTCATGCATATAGACACTCAAATGAACGGAAAACAATACATATATTGGCAATACAAATCATTGTCCAATTTACATAATTATCAAGTTACAAAATGATGATTTTAAGAACGACAAACTACAAACTATGGAATTAAACTAAACTACACTAATTCTATGAAAAGAAAGCAGAACGTGGCCAAGAAACCATACCCAACAGCAATCCCATGCATGGAAGCCATAGACAGAAAGTGCTTACAAAAGTGCAAGTGAAATTTTCGACCTCTCTAAAGTGACAGGCTCTTCATATTTATAGAATTAATTGAGAGTGGTTAATTTCCATCGTGTGTATGTAATCGATGTCCACTATACTGAGTATGTGGCTTAAAGGTAACTTCTCCCAACCGTTCCATCCACGTTTTTATTTTTCAACTTGATCTTCGATAATTGCTTTTGGTGCACTTATTTAACTGCCTAAAACCTCCGGTAACCACCTCTTGCATTTTTTCGAGTCGTTCTCGAGCATGCATGCTTATAGTTTCTGATGTTTGATTTGTTTGGTAAGTACCTTGTCAATCAACTTCTTCGAGTGGAATGTCTTCGAGTGGCCCTAACAAATACCCCCCTAGGAATTTAGTCTTCGAAGCATGCGTTAAGGCGATGAACGACTGAATTCCTATGATTTTCAATTCTTCGATCAATACTGATTAGTTTTCTAGCCAACTCTATGATGTACTTATTCGATGGAACCCTAACCAGAAATGCTCTTAAATGTGGTTACCGTTATATTTAAGATTTTCCTACCCCTAATAAATTTTGACGGCGCATGCTCACATTTCCCAATGCTCTTGTCCATTTATTTGAAATATGATTTGAAACATTTGATGGTTGATCTGACTTGTTGGGTTATTTTCGCCTTGGCCCGTTTACATTCGTTTAAAAGGTCTTAGGGCAAAAATTACTTTTACTGTTTCCTTTGTGTGCATGTATTCTTTGCCTTTCAAACTTTCTCCTTTCTTGCTTCTTCTTGTTCCTCTCCTTATTTCTCTTGCTTCATCTTGCTACAATGGCTTCTTCTGCTGCTTCAACTTCTGCTACTGCCTCAGTTCTTTCTCCTACAATGGCTTCTGCTTCGTCTACACAATCTGCTCCTCTACTAATGGCCAATGCTACGGTCTGTGCTGTGAAAGATGGTGACGAAACCTTCGTTCCCATCTTAGGCATGGAGGAAGCTAGCCTTAAAATTTTCAATTCCCAGGTACTTCTTCCCTTCTCTCTTCAAGATGGTACCACCCATGCTTTTCTAGGTCAAAATAAGAAAAAGTTTAGTAACACATTGCTTCTTGAGGATTCTTCTACCTTACCTTTCATTTATTCTCCTACAATAGACCTGAACTTGTTTAGTGACACCACAAAATTTTTTAGAGCGTTTCTACCCACAAAAGATAGGCATTTGCAATGGTTAGAATGCGTAGAGAAATCAATGCATTCTGTGTGGGTAGGTGATGGTATCTCTGAGTTCATCTAACTCTCTAAGTTTGATTTGCATGCTTTCGATCCTCAAATGCTTCTCTCTGCTATCTTCTTTTGGAATAGAGAAACTCGAGATTTTGAGTTTCCATGTGGTTTTGTGTGTCCCATTTTTGTTGGATATTGCTGCTATCACTGGCTTGGCGCCTATAGGGTATAGGTTTTATCCAGATGCTTTCGAGGAGGAAATTTCTATCAAGGAAACTTCTATTTCCTGGGACAAAAAGACCTACCTCGCCTTCATTAATGCACATATGGGACAATTGGATATCCCCGTTTTGATCTTAGAGCATATTGTTTTTCTAATGTATTGGCTATCTGCTTGTGTTTTCTACACTCCTTCTCTTCATGTTCCTAAGTATTATTCTATCTTGGCCCAAGCTTTACATTTACAGAAGAGAATTTGTTTGAATTAACTACTATTGGCTTCTTTATACTCCTTTCTCGATGAAGCTTTAGAAAGTCTTTTTCGTGAATCTGGTCCTCGCAATATTTCTGGGCCATTATGGTTGTTACAATTATGGCTCAATGCCATCTTAGAGAAGAAACTTCTGTTGACTTCATCTTTTTCCCCAGTATGTCAACTCGAAGCAGCTCGTTTAACCATTCTTACTCCTCGAAAGCGTTCAATCGAGAACTTTGCTAAATATGTTCGAACATTCCTTAGCTTTAGCGACTTCACCGAGGACTTGGCCCCTTTCATACGTTTAGGTTTGACAGGGCCTTCTTGGCTTCGAGAGAACAATCAAGTCGGAAAGATTTCCCTAGATTCTGTTGATATCTTGTTTGGCTTTTTATCGTGAGATGTAATTTTGTCTAGGATGCGACAAAAAGATGTTAGGATCTACCCCTACCAACCTCAACTATTTGCTTGACAATTTGGTCTCTGCCAAATGAAGCCTCTACCTCTTCGCCATAAAGAAAGCATAGATGCTGATATTTGTGTCGAAAAAGGGGATTATCAGGATGTCTAGGACTTTATTTTACGTCCTGATAAACAACTTCATCTTACCCCTTGCACTTTCTCTGCTTCTTTCCTAGTCTCGAAGTGTTTTCTTCGTTGGTGGTGTGAATATTATGTTGACAAAATTTTCACTTTTGACGATTTTTTGAAGAAGCTGATTAATTCTCATCTTTCTTCGCAGGGCCCAAAAATACCAGGTACTTACAAGAATCGTAATATTATTTATCAATTCGAGCAGTTTTTTAAAGTTTGTTATCGACCCGATTACCTTGGTCAAACAACTTTTGATGCTTCTGTCTCTTTAACGAAAATGGTACAAAGGAACATCCACTCAAAAAAGATTATTAATCCTCGAGGGGAAACTGATTTTGCAAAATTTTGCCCTAAAAACATCCCTCCTCTTCCAAACGCTCGTTTTGGTTTAGTCAAATATTTATCTTACCCTCTTTGGGTAAAGATACTCGACCCTTTTTATTTGGAACGCAAAGAAATTCCTGTAAAAGATCAAGTTACCTATGCGAGATGTTCCGTGTACGATTTTCCTCGAGAGAGATGGTGGCCTTTGCGTCGGGTCAATAACCACAATCTTCCCCCTGGTAAATGTCTTGTAACAAATTTCTATATTCTCCCATTGTCATTATCTGATCCTTGTTTTGTCTTGTGCAGTTGTTATCCCTTAGTGTGTTCCTCAACATCTCGATGAGACACCCAAATGGGAAAATGACGATGACTGTGATGATGGGTCTTCGTTGAAAACTCAAAAAAGAAAGACCATTTCTGATAAGATTTCTTTACGTTCCAAGGTACCTTTTCTTTCTATCTATCAAACTTACGCACCTTCTCTTTCTCTACTTATCCGATTTCTCTAAAAAAAAAATCTTTGATCATAGGATGTTGAGATAATTCATATCTCTTCCTCTCGAGATGTCTCCAAAGACTCCTCCTTTTCGACTGTGGATCCTCAAAAGGTTTGGAATTTTTCATTGTTTTCATTGATATATTTTTTTTCTTCTATGTTTTGCTTCCGTATCTAATTTTTCCCTTTTTTCACAGTTGATTACCCCTCAGTCGAGCATTGTCAGTATTCCCCTGACGGAAATAACTGTGGGTATTACCACTCCTCTTCAAGACACATAAAGTGATGTTCCTTTATCTGCACCCATTGTGAATACTGAAACTCCTCACCAATCCTCTCAAGACGAAGCTCCATCTTTCGAGCTTAAGCCTCCCATTAGTCCTGATCATGGTATATTTCCTCTTTTTGCTAATTTCTATCGATTATTATGTAAATATGACTGTATCTTTTCTTATGTGTAGGTTGGACTGATTCTCCAAGGCCTCTTACTCCTTCACCAT